CTGGGCTTTTGGGGGGATGGGCAGGCGTGGCGGGGTGGACCTTGGGTTTAGTGCCCAGGATGGGACAGGTACGTAGCAGAAGGAGGGAGGGAGGAGCCCCAGGCCTAGAGGTTAGGAAACAGCACTGGAGGGGTGTGTGTGTGACAATAGCAGGAACCTGAGGCTAGATGACCAACACCCCCTGACTAGGATCTGGGCTGTGAAAGAGGTGCTGACTGAGTGCCCTGGGCATTCAGAGGGTGGGGTTTGCACTTTCAGCTGGGTAGTCCAGGAGGGCTTCTTAGAGGAGGGGTCTTAGAGCTGGCCTTGTGGGATGGGTTGGATTTGACAGAGGGACCTGGGGAGCCAGAGGGCAGGTACCAGGTGCACCAAAGAACACTAGGGAAGGCTTCAGGCAGCAACAAGGGGCTTGCTGGGGAAGCAGTGACTGGGATCTGTGGAGGGTGGAGCATGGGGCTGGAAGAGAAGCAGGAAGAAAGGCAGAGGCAGGCTGGAGTCCCCCCGCCCCCAGCCCCTGCGACATTTACCCCATCCTGCCCCAAAACCATCTGGTGTCTGAACTCCAAGAGACCCCTGTGAAAGAGAAATGCCCCAGGAGGGCTCTTAACTAAGGATTCCTGCCTTGGCCTCAGTTTCTCCGTCTGTATTGCAAAGGCCTTCAGCAACTTCCGTGGGGAACAGGACACAGGATGGGTATCGTGTGGGAGTATGGGCAGGAGAATGGGATGAAGCACCACAATCTAGGAGATGGCATGAAAAGGAAAGGCAAGAAAGGCCACCTGCAGGCTTTGGTGACCATTGAGCCCCCGAGCAGTGGGGTCCTGAGCCCTCTCTGTGCATAACGGGTCTTCTGGGAGCACACGCCCCTGCCCAACTGGCGGGCACTGGCAGTGTTCTGCATGACTACAGGCAGCCTGCCTGCCCCACTCACCCACCCACCTGCCAGCCCGCCCCTCGTCCCGGAGTTTGCATTAAGCAATCTCCATTATCACAAATGCTTGGCATTTTTGCCTGGTAATTACAGCTCCCACAGCCCCTGAGGATTAGGGTAAGATTAGGGAGTAGGGAGGATTCTGGTGGGTGGAGAGAAATACCTGCAAATAGACTTGGCAGCCTGATAGCCTCCTGCAACTTTTAGGATCCCCCAATAAGGGCTCAGTGGCCACCTTAAGGATGGTGCACTGGGCCCCCAGTAGCAAAGGCCATCAGCCGCCTTTCGCTGCCATCCCCTCCCCACCTCTCCACCTGCACTGCCTCCACTGGGAGCACCGCAGTTGCCCCTCAACCTGCCTGTCGGGGAGCGGCTGTGCAGCAGCGCTCCGAGCAGTTCTCCTCTCCTGGCGAAGATGCCCAGCCCCAGCCCACAGCCAGACACCTTCGCCTGTGCTTCGTCCCTGCTGCTAGACCTCTGGGCCTCCCATGCTCTGGTCACCCCAGAGGAGACCTGCAGACATCATGGACTTTCCTGGTCTCTGCTCTCACTGTTCCTTTCGGCTGGAATGATCTTCCATCCAATTCTCCACTTGTCAAAACCCTGCTGGTCCTCCAAGGCCCAGATTAGATGCTCCCTCCTTGAAGGAGCCTCTCCTACCCCTCTAAAAATATTAAGAGCCAACAATTCATGAGTCCTTGTGATGTGCCAGGCCCTGCTCTAAGCACTTCACAATGTATTAACTCACTTACTCCTCGCCCCAACTCTATGAGGTTGTAATTTTACAGATGAGCAAAGAGGCCCAGAGAGCCTAAGTCAAGTGCTCGAGAACACATAGGTGCGAAGCGTGGAATTGGCGCTTCCTCCACACACGCCCACAAGGCGCCTGTCTTGCACGTCCCTTCAGTACTTCTCTATGGGGGCTGCTTATGCGTTTCCACTGTCTCCCCACAAAATCACAAGCCCTAGAGCAGAGCTTCCGAAACTTGACCTCTGATTCAACTGAGGATTTGTTGAAGTGCACACTCTGATCCAGTATTTGTGGAGCAGAGCCCAGGATTCTGCATTCTAAGAAGCCCTCAGGCGACGCTGCTGCTGCCGGTCTAGGGACCACACTTTGAGTAGCAAATCCAGACTAGAGCAGGAAGGTCCTACCGTTGCCGTCGCTTGCTTAGCAGAGCTGAGGGCCTGTGGAAGGCTCTTGAAGACCTGGCCCTTCACCAGCCTTGGCCCTCCCAGGCAGCGGAGGGCAGGACTTGTGCTTTGGATGGGCTGGGTCCCAGTCCCATCCTGGTCTTCCCTTTGGGCTCAGACATGGAGACCCCGGGAACAGCCAGGTAGACTCTGGACTCACCCCTGCCCTAGGACGTCCCCCAACAACCCTCTAAGCTCTGGCCCAGCTCTGACCCGCGGGGATTCTTGTAGTTCTGGAAATTGTTCTTCTTACCTGTGCCACCTCTATGCAGAACTAACAGGGTGGTGCAAATAGTTCTGCCAACGCTGGCCATCCCTGCCTGCTCAGCCACGACAGGAGGTGAAGGCAGCTGAGGAGGCCAGTGCTAGTGAGGATGCCTTTGGAGAGAAGCGTCAGGGTGCAGAGCCGCCACCAGTCCCAGCCACGGGGAGAGGAGGAGGTGCATCTCCACTCCTACAGCCAAGTGAGAGAGGCTCCAAAAAAACTGCTGGATGTCCCCGAGGTGTGGGACACACTCCTAGGGATGACCCCAGACTCTGAGGGGGAGGGTAAAGGTGACGGGGGCAGAGCAGGCAGACAGACAGAACGAGTGGGGAAGGTCTGACCTCCAGGATTTGGGGGGCAAGATGGTGCTTTGCATGGTTCAAGTGTGGATTCTGCAGAAGGAACTCAGGGCTTCTAAAAGGGGGTGGGGGAGAGGCTGGCAGAAGCACTGGGGAGCTGCCAGGAGCAGCAGGTGGAGGACGGATCACCAACGCAAGAGATCCCTAGTGATGGGAGGTCCCCTTACAAGAGGAGGAACCAGCACGTCCTATGCGCCCTGTCAGAGGCCACACAGCAACACCCAGTACAGCTGCACCACACGGGGAGAGCTTGCTCTCCACACCGTCCCCCGACCCCAAATCTCCTTCCGGGAGCAGCTGGAGGCAGCTTGGTGGTCTGGGAGGACTCCTGGGGCAAAAAGACCCCTGAAGGGGAAGGGGAAACTTTAATGTAACCTGGGGGGGCTCTGGCCCCTCTGAAGCCTACCCACAGTGTCCCTAGAAAACTCCGCAGCCCAGGCGGAAAGCACTGCATGTGAGGAGGCACGGGCCTGCGTGCTGTTCCCGTGGACTCACTGCAGCGCGGGGTCTGGGGAGAGCAGTGCTGGGCTTTGCTCATCTCCATTCCAGGAAAACCTAGAGACGCCCAGCTGTGTGTGTACCTGCGTCTTGGCTTCTAGAAAAGTGCTTTTGTAATTTGTTGGAACTGCTCTTCTCGAGCAATACTGGGAATAGTTTGTTTTCTCCAGCCCTGCCAAAGGGACTCTGGTCAGGAGGTTAAGTGAGTTTCATTGAAAAGACACACTTTTCCTTCCCCGGCTGATAAACAAGGCTGCTGCAGGGAAACCGACTTCCTCTGCCCAGGCGTTCAGCTGGGGCCGCCTATCCCGGGCCAAGGAAAACAAATGCATAAACATTTCAGGGGTATATAGGAAACGTTTCTGCTGGGAGCCCGCTGTGAATGGCTGCTGGAGTTTACATAGCAAACCCCAGGGGCCTCGGCACAGCCCAGACAAAGGAGTCCTGGCCCTCCCCTTCCCTCCTGGCCTGCTGGCTCCTCCCTGCCTCTCCCCAAAGACTGACAGTCAGGCCACTACACATGCCCTGTCCACAAGAACACAAGACAAGCTCTCTAGTTGTCACCGCCAAATGCCAGTTTCATCTCCTACATGCCTGGTAGCTAAAAAGAAGGGATCTCCTTTTAGCCAGCACGGCAGGCAGAGGGAACACAGCCCACAAGCTGCTTGCATGCATCCCGAGCCCAGTGGGGCACACGGAGGCTGGGGACAGGCTGCTATCCGGTGTTCGTGACTCTCCTAGGCTCTCCCCGAGCCAAGGCAGACACACTAGGAATGCATGCCCTGGCCCAGCCACCTCCACACAGCCCCCGAGTCTCCGCCACAGTGCTCGCCGGGCACAGGCAGGGTTGGCACCTCCTAAGGGCTTTGCCATTATGTTGTTCAGAGCGTCTCACGGGGACAGTCATGTGACAGGAACTCCTTGAGGCAAGCGCTCTGCCTCTGGGCTCCTCCACTCCATCCCGTTCTTGCGAACCACACAGAGGAGTCCTTCACTTAGGTCTTGACACAACTCACTCTCTCTCTCTCTCTCTTTCTTTACCAGCCTCCCAATGCATTTCTACATTTTCTCATGTTCCTTTTTGAAACCAGTAGGATAGAAAATGAATGGAGTGAATGAGGCTCAGACTACGATTTTTCCCCACAAGTGATTATGTGATTATGGCATTTTTCCCATTCCAACCTACCCCATCTTTGCCCTGGAATGTGAGGGGCTCCACAGGCTCTGCCCACCCATATTTTCAGTCAGTTCTCTCCCCACATGTCCCCTACAGCCACACAGGAGAACCACCTCTGGTCCCTCTGTTCATCCCTAGCCTATTGCCCGCCACCCCCACCCTGGCCAAGAGGCCCTTCCCTGGAAGGCTCTTTGCCCCACTTCCACCTGGCCAGGCCCACCCTGCCCTCCAGGTCTACCTCCATCCTCATAGGGCCTCAAAGGGATCCAGGTCTGCCCTGAGATGGGCTCCCTGCGGCCCGGAGCTGCTCCTGGACAGCACAGCTGATGTATCTGGTGCCTCAGACCTGTGCTGATCCAGTGAGAGACAGGATAGAGCAGGAAACCCAGACAGGGACAGCACTGGACCAGAGGGTGTCACTGGCCCACAGAGATCGGTTAGGAGACATCTTAGCCTGAGGGTCTCCTGAGCTCGGGAGGGCCCCTCCACCCATCATAGTGTCCACCCCAGCTGTGATCAGCACGGATCTTGCATTCCCTTTGGAGCGAGAGAACAAATAAGTCTCGGCCATCAGCATGGATGTGACTCTTGTTTTATAGAAAGTCAATTACCAGAAACAGTGAGTACCCAAGGTCCCCGGGGGAACCACGTCAGAGGCCTTGTTGAAGGGATGACCCAGAGGGGAGCGAGGGAGGGATGCAGATAAAAGGCAGCAGAGACCCCGGAGGCCTGCTTCCAGTCCTCGGCAGTCACGGCTCCGTCTTTGGGAGGGGACACAGCAGCACACTGGGCCCCTCATCATGGTCCCGGGTGGGCCCTTCGTGGAAGGGGCAGGGAGGCTCTGCACGCTTCTGCAGCACTGCTGGCCCAGAAGGGGGCGACGCTCTTCTCAGAGACTTGCCCCTGAGGCTTGGGGTCCAGCTGTCACCCCCAGTGATGAGCAGTGGAGCCACAGGGCTTACCCACATTTGAGGTCACAGGATGGGGTCTGAGCCGTTCCAGTTCACCAACGCCCTCTTCCACCTAGGGGCAGAGGGACAAGAGAAAGAGAGTTAGAGCTTTAGGTGCCCAGATAGGGGCCCATCCCTTGTGCCTACTTACTGAGGCTTTTGTCTTGGAGGCTTTGAGCATTTCAGGTTCCACGCTGCCCACGTCGCCCCTCCACACTCACACACAAGCCCACACGCCAGTCCCTTATGAAACACAAAAATACCCAGGACCCTGGGAAGCACCACAGAAGACAGAAGCGGCAAATGATTCACTCCTTTGTGCCACAACCTACTTTGCGCCTGGCACTGCAGGGCACTCTGCTAATGTGAGTGATCCACACACAGCGGCTTTCCAGCAGCGCCTGGCGTTGACACATTAGAGGCACTCGTGCAGACCTAGATACGGAGAAATCCTGGAGCGTCTAAAGCGCAGGAGGAGGCCAGTGGCTGGAGCCCAGAAAGACGGCAGAGAGGGGCAGGGGGCGCTGGGAGCTGGCAGGGCCTTGTGAGGATTCTGGGCTTTCCTCTGGGAGCCTTGGGAATGCTGATGGGCTGTGAGCACCGCAGTTAACACAGATTTTTTAAAAAATTACTTTACCTTAAGAAGCACTGAGAATAATTAAATTGCAGTCCAAGGTTAGATACAATTTAATGATAGTTCAGTTGCAAAATAAAAGCTATTGTAGTGAGACTATGAAATTTCCTAACACTTGATTTTAATACATGGCACTAATTTTGTAAAAACAACTCAGAGGAATCACATTTATAGCAGATGCAGTATTTATGCCAAATCTGGCATGAGGTATACAGTACACATGCATATGTCCTAAGACTATATATGAACTAGGAAACAGATGTTGCGTATCTCAACAGCAGCACTAGAGCAGCGTTTGAGACTAGGGTTTGTCAATGTTTCCAAAGTGTGGGGTTTGGGTACAGAGCAGACATCTTGTTTTCCAAACCTAAAGTTTTTTTTCAGGACTAAGGTCAAAATCCTAACCGTCACACAGAAGGGAAAAAAAGAAGCTTTTCTCTCTTTAATTGTACACCTGCGTCAGAAAGTCCAGTATCCTGAGATTGGAACTGCAGTAAGAAGGGCATGAACAGGTTCTCTCAAAGTAACACGGTTGTATTTCCCCACAGAATGCTTGGAAGGACCAAGAGATTTCTGTTAATGGACCCATATTAGTTTCAGATAACGAAAAGTCCAACCAGCAGGGAAAACGGCCACTGCTCTGACTCCCACAGCTGAGCAGGTTCTGGAGGTAAGACGTGCTGGGAAGGAGTGTGCTGAGCCCCAGGTCCTAGGGGCTGGGCTGATCTGTTGCATCTACTGGATTAATGGTACTTTAACAATCTGCAGCAACGCAACGAGGGTTTAATTGATTCTACCACACTATTTGAGATTTTCCTTCTCTGCTCATCATCTTGCAGTTTTGCAGTATGTCATTAACAAGCTTTTATTGTACTATTAAGATTTGTAGGTAAGCACTGAAGTCTTGGACACTAGGAACACATCTTGTATCTAGATGTCCAGAGGATGGCAGAAGGGAGGCAGGAAGGAGAGGGACATTCCCGCCCTCAGCCTGGTCCCCAGGGCCCTTCGCTCCATCCCTCTCCAACCCTCCAACCCTTTCCCTTCCCCACTCTGACTCAAGTTCCTCCTATGAGCTCCCAGTTTGCAAAAACTCTCAGATCCTGGCAGAACGGGATCCTGGCAAATGCTTCAGTGCTGGGTGAGTCACGCTCATCTGCCGCAACATCCGCATCACACCTCGCTGTCAGGCTGCTGGGTTTGTGTTTGGTTTTGAGGCTTTTTACAGACCTAATCAACCCTCCACATCCCAGCCACCAGGTGCAAATGCAGGGGGAGTACTGGAAGCACCAGAGAGAAGCAGTTCACAATTATGAAAGAAAATCAAAGCAGAAACATTTTAAAAATGGAAAGAGCTAAGATATTACGGATGTTATGCTTTTATAGGGAATGAATCGTTCCCCAGTTGGAATGGTTCTGAAAGTCGGAGTCAATTACAAGGACAAGAAAGAAGAGCTCTGCATAGGCAATCAACAACTAGGGACAGGCAGAGAGAGGGAAGGAATGAAATGGAACTGCTTCTGAGTGTGGCAGGAGCGGCAGCATCGAAGCCCTGGCCTCACTAATTCAGGAGGCAGCTGCCAGCATGACAGCTTAGAGCAGGGTTTCTCCCCTCCACACCTTGGGCATTTGGGGCTGGGAAGTTCTTTCTTGTGGGGGCTGTTCTGTGCATAGTAGGATGTTTAGCACTCTCCCCCTGGCCGTGACAACTAAAAATGCCCCCCAGACATTGCCAAATAACCCAGGGATGCAAAATCGCCCCCTGCTGGGAACCACCTAATCTGTGAAAATGCCGTGGTCCCTGGAGCTCAAGTCAGCTCGGTACCATGGAGTGGCAAATCATGGCCAAAAATGATGGGGGCAATCGCTGCAACAGAGGAGCAGATACCTGCCTCAACAGGTTTTCAGTGCTGACGAGACTGGTGTACTGCATGGGGGAAAAGAGCCTGTGTCAGCAAGGAGAAGAGGGCAGGCCTGGTTTCAAAGCTCCTAACTGGTAGAAACATATCCAGGGACTCCGCTTGCTCACTTTGAATTTCCAGACAAATGGCCTGTATGCAAGTTTCTGTTCCTGTGCTGCAGCTATTCCGAACGAGGAGTGGCTCTAGGGTGAGCCGCCTGGGCTAGCCCTCACCTGTGGGCCTTACCACGTGCTGTGCCCTCCCCTGCCCGCCATCCTTCAGGATCAGTTCCCCGACTCCTCCTTGCAGAAGCCTTCTGACTGTCAGGCCACCTGCCGTGCCCCTCAGCACCCAGGCCAGGCTTCAGGGCCGAGTGGGTCTCACTCATGCCTGAAGCGTGGGGGTGAGAGGTGCTGCTGCATGACCACGCCCCTCCACGCCAGCTGCTCCTCCCCACCCCCAGGCACCCAGCAGAGACCTTGGTCTCCACTCATACTTCACAAAGTCCTGCCCAGGACCCACCGTCCCTGCCTCTTGCCCTCTCCTTTCTGCCTCCTCCCAAGCTCTCACCCAACTTGCCACCACCTGATTCTTTCTCCTCCCCCAACACACGCAGAACCCTTTCTGGTCCTCAAAGGAAGAGTTTCCGCAGCTCTTCTCTCAACCTCACAACAGCTCAGGGATTGTTATACCCAATCAACAGAGAGGGAAACTGAGCCCCGCAGCAGAGCCAGACCTTCTGGAGCTCACACAGTGTGACGACTGCAGAGCCAGTGCAGGGTAGGTGTGTGTGGGCAGCTGGGCATCTGAAGAGAAGGGCTGGGGGGACAGTCGGGGCAGTGGGGGCACCCAGGGAACAGGGTCTAGGTGAGGTGTCAGCACAAAAGCTGAGCAGGAGGCACCTCAGGCGGGTGGGGGGACAGCTGAGGGAGGTGGGTGCTCTGCCCCAGACCCTCAGAGGCACCTTTCCCAGCTGGAATTACATTTTCAATTTCTTGTCTGGGCCTCCAAACAGAAACATCTGTGCCTCAGGCCCCGGTTATGAGTTCTTTCCTCTTTTCTCTGGACGGTTGACAACTGTTTCATTTTCTCCCACTCTAGCTAGGCTGGAAGCATGAGAGAGGTCACTGCATGTGTCTTGATTGAAAATGCCCATAAATGAGTTGGTTCTTGCTGCGGTGGTTAGAGAAGAGCGGGGGGTGGGGACAGACCCCACATTCCTGCCTGACACATGCAAAGGTAACAGGAGACTCTCTGAAGCCGAGACGTGTGTCACACCGAAGGGGAGAGACAGCACGGGGACCTAGGGATGGTTCAAATTAGGATGCTCTTCTCCAAAGGCAAAACCGGCAGTCTGGACTTGTGCAATGTCACTGTGGCAACAAAGCCAGGTGACAAGAAGTCACAGTGCCCGCTCAGTGACCTTCCACTAGGTCAGGACAACAAGGGCCTAAGCTCCAGTCCCTGAGCTGTTCAATGACTCAAGGCATGGCCAGGACGCAGAACTCCATTCTGGGGACCCCCATCTCTCCATCTGTAGAAGAAGGGGCTACATCAGATGGTGTCTAAGGGCTATTGTGTGCATCCAAGTGAGCTGCCAGACAGCTAGGTATGTGGTGTGTCCTGTGCTGGGTCAGGTGTGAGTCTGGGCTTCTTGCAGGGCAACAGCTGGGTTTAAGGGTGGGCAGTGCCTCCTTCCCTGGATTAGAACAGCGTTCATTCTGAACTTCTAGTTGACTGTGAACTCTCACAGAGCAAGAACCAAGTCCTATCCAGCTGTTTCTTCCATGGAGTCCAGCCCAGGGGTCCGAGGAGGGCTGATGTAATAGGAGGGAAACCCCACCTGCCCACCAGGTCGGTCTGCCTGCTGCCTGCCCATCCAGCAGGATGGATGAGACGGCCAAGGCGCATAGCTGCATCTCATTCGGGACTTGGGGCCTGACCCCAGCCTTGTAAAGGACCTGAGCTCAGGCCATGGCTCCATGCATACCCCTTCCTGACAAGGCAGGTTCTTCCTACAGACAGCAGCACCTACCCCCCAAGGGGCAGGACCCACCTCCAGCAGGTCCTCACTGACCTTGGAGGCCACTTTCCCAAGTTTCTCCCTTTGAACTGTTTGAGAATCTGGGATGAAAACAAATGCAAAGCCTTTGTAATCCAACCCCTTGGAATAGGATTCCAGGAGGCCGGCCCGCTGTTTCCCGTTACAGCAGCATGTTATGTGAGGGGCCGTGGGGAGGCCCAGTGTTACCACTCTTCACTCACCCACTTAGCTTTTCCAGGAATAATGCTGGGAAAAGCCTCACGTGTTAACTGCCCAGATGGACACACCATGACAGGGCAATTACAGGGGGAGCAGAACACGCAGCTGGCCTTAGGAACACTCACGGGAGGTGCAGGGGAGTCGAGAGGAAAGCACCTTGGCCTAGTGCTTTACCGCAGGCCAGACACTGGAGGGACAGCGCCTCACTCGAGACCTCACTCTCACAAGGCAGCCAGGTCAGAGCAGGTGCAGGCACGGCCCTCACCAGTCGCTAGAACAGCGGTTCCCAAACTGTGGTCCCAGAGGGGACCACACATCAGCAGCACCTGGAACTCCTTAGAAATGCGAATTCTCAGGCTCCTTCCTGAACCAGAAACGCTGGGAGTGGGGCCCAGCAATCCATGTTTTCACACGTTCTCCAGGTGATTCTGAAGCTCCTAAAGCTTGAGGACCACTGCTCTGGAGCAAGCCTTTCTGATGAGTGGGGCACAAACAGATACGGGTTCCCCTCAGCCATTGGGGAGCTGGGTGGGGTCTGAGATGACTGGAGTCTCCAGGCCAGCTGTCTCTAGCCCTATGTGCTGTGCAAATGTGATTATTTTCCGACTGTAGCAAGCATCGGGGAGCACTGCTTGAGGAGAGGCCGAGAGCCCACTCCCTGACACATGAAGCCTCCGCACTTCCCCACATCTCCTCACTGTCACCTGCTGGCACACGGCCATGGGGCAAGGGAGGGAAGTCCGGGAACGGGGCAGCCAACAGAAGAGGAAGAGGAGCTTCAGGCCCATGCCTGCACTTGCATTGTCACTCCATGGCAGGCCAGCTCTGGGCCAGGGGCTGCCTCGGGGACAGGCCAGAGCCCTGAGTCATTCTCAAATGACAGCCTGTTGGGACTGAGCCCAAGAAGTCCAATCCTGGGCCCACGCTGGGAGGCTCTTGGTGAGTCATGCAGTCAAATGGTTTTGGGGGCAAGAGGAGTTACTGCAGAAGGGGACGTGGAGAGGTTTCAGGGTGGTGGGCCACTCCCTGGGAGGCCTTCAACAAGGGTCCCAGGGCTCCGGAGGCAAGCAGAGGCTGCGCCCAGGGTGCACTCAGAGCCCTGCTTGGCAGGTCCACCTGCAGGAAGCATGCCCTGTGGCCTCCCACGCTGTCCTGCACAAGTGCCAAGGCCAGTGTCGCCTCTTTCCCCATTGCTGTTCTTCTCTCATCACTTTGAATGAGTGGCCCTTTGTACATGAAAGGAAAGTGACCTGCATGTGCCCTTAATCCTCCCGACGAAAGAAATACCGGCACATGACCCCGCAGGAACGCTTCATCCCTGGCCCAGGGGCAGGCAGGTGGACGGATGGGTGGGGCATGACAAGGATGTCCCAGCATCCCCTCCCGCTTCCCCTTCCTGGTGTTTCCACTATGCACAGGGAGTTCTCTCTCTGCAACTCCACTCACAGGCTTGCCTGCCTGCAGGTGGGCAGCAACCCTAAGCTCCAAGTGTGCCACCTGGATCTCAGGCAGTCAGCGCTACAGGACCTCAGCCATCGTCCGTATCTCCCCACCTCAACCCCAACCATGTCCCACACAAGGACATGGAGATTCTGCCTGAGGTCACAGCCAATCATGAGAGGTCGAGACAATAATGAGAGCTAACACTGAGGGGCACGTGGTAATGTCCTAGGCACTCATCACAAAAACTGGTGAGCTAGGGATTGCCCTTATCCTTGTTTTATAGATGACAAAGTGATTTACAGATAGGTGAAGACCAGTGGCTCACACTAGAAAGTGGCAGAGCCTGGGTTCAAACCAGGCAGCCAGTCCCCAGAACCTACAGTCATAAGGGCTGCAAGTGCCACTGCGTCTCCAGAAGGCCCTAGGGTCCAGGTCTCCTCCCTCCTGGCATCTCCTTCCGCTGCACGCCGACCCATGTCGTGACCCCAAGGCTTCATGAAGGGCCTGATGGAGCGTGCCAGGCATTCCTGACAGCTACAGCCCCACCAGCCCTCCGCAGTGCTGCCCCAGCCTGGGCCTGCTCAGAGCACTCACGGGGAAGTGAGCCCTGTGGACTGAGCACTCCCTCCGCTGTCCTGCGCCTCAGCGTCCCCTTACAGAGGGGCTGGGTCAGAGGTGTCAAAGCCCCCGCCTGCCTCTGAGGCTACCGGCACCTCTGCTCAGTGTTCAGAGTGGTCGAGGCTGCTCCTCCCACCTGCCCCCAGGCGGCCACCTCCCTCCACACCGTGGCTGGGCCAGGCCTTCGCACCTTCCCATCCTGCTCCTTCTGACCTAATGGCACTTACCGTGTGTCCTTGAGGGAGGAGGGGCCCAACAGACACCCACTCACCCCCCACCATTGGGACATCCTCAGATGCTGTCTGAAGACATGTCACCCCCGCAGAGTACACACTCCTGCACATGGGCCCCAGTGACCGCAGACAGAGAAACCTACTTACGCACAAGCCCCCAGCACTGCATCTTTTCAATCTGTGGGCGTCTCAACTAACCACGCCCCTCTCAGGACAGTCCAGGAACCCATCCTCCTTTCTGCAGCCCTGATCACTCCAACCACTGCACCCCCCAGCCATTCACTGTGAGGTTCAAAGCGAGAGAGGGGCCGGACTCACTTGGTTCTGATGCAGAGCTCGAGGGGTGGGACAAGGTCATTGTCTCTGTCCTCAGGGATGGTCTGGGTGGTGTCTGGAGAGGAGAGAGAGGCAGATGCACATCAACTAGGGCCCTGCACTCACCCTGAGGTCAACATGGACAACCCTAACTCCTGAGGCCCAACCCTTCTAGTACCTGTCCTCTCCTCTCCATTTCCACTGGATCCGCCCTCATGCCTGGTATTGGTCTCACCTGGACAACTCACTGGTCCCTCGCCTCCAGTGCCTGCTTCAGCTACCACAACATTCTTTCTAAAAACACATCTGATCTCATCTTTTCATGGCTCCCTATTGCCTGAAGAATAAATCCAAACTTGTCAGCATCGTATTCGGGGCTCTTTACCATGCAGTCTCAACCTCACCTTACACCTGATGCCATTCACTGCTCAAGGCCCAGCTCTGGCCCCCTGCTGTAGGAGGTCCTTGCTAACATTCGCTCTCTGATCCCCAAGTCCTGACACTCAAGTCTGCATTGTTCCCTGACTGTCCCGAGGGGGCATGTTAAGGCTGGTTTCCCTGAGGACGCCTGGGGAACGGTGGGCAGGTGCCGCACCGACAGTCAGCCGGATCTGTTCCTGCTGGTTGGCCAGGCCGTCATAGTAGTACAGGTCGAAGAGCCTCTCAGTCCTCCAGTCACACAGGAGCTCCTGCTGCAGGCTGAACAGAACGGTGAAGTGGCTCTCGCTGCACACCACCCAGATGGGAAACCTTGGCGTCTTCAGGAAGCAGCCGACCTGGATGGAGGGAGAGGCCCGATGCAACGTGCCATCCCCAGGAAAGAAGTCAGGGCATTTTCTGTCCAACCTGAGGCAGGGCTGACCTCAGAGAAGGCTTGTTGAGGATCACGTCTGCGTCTGACGCTGGGAGCCCCCGTGCTACCCAGACCACAGGCCTGTTTCCCAGAGCCACACCTGTACTGCCACCCCTGCCTGCTGCTGCTTGCGGAGTCTCTGCCACACAGACCTGAGACCTGGCATCACCCCTCCCCTTCAGCCCCTACACCTAGGGGTTCCCAGTGCTGCCCATTCTGCATCTAAAAGCTACTCAACCCCTAGCCTCTCAGACCTCTCCTCAGGTTTACTCACCACCCCCAACCTGGATCACAGCAATGACCTCCTAACCAATTCTTCCCACGCCCCTCAAACTAATTCAGCTTGTCAACCATGCCTTTGTATGCTCTGCCCACCAGTCTAGAGCTTGCCTCCCCTTGGAGAGCCTGCATCTCCCAGCTCACCCAATCAAGGAACGGGGATAACTTCTTCCTTGCAGCTCCCAGGGGGCACATTATGAAGTGCCTGCCCACCTAGACCAACAGGACATCACTGTCTCACCATGACGCCTTCCCCTGCCTCTTTCGCTCCAGACTACCCTTACTTATAGCCACGAGCCCAGGTCCTTGTGGATGAAGCAGGACTTAAGCTAGATCCACACCATGAAGACAGGTAGGACTGGAGCCATAGGGAGCCAGGAGGGAAAGATCTAGTGAGCAGTCTGTAGAGGATGCCATGAATGAATGGCCACAGAAGTTCAGAGTACAGAGTGGCATTTAGGAAGGCTGCAGGGGAGGATAAGGCTGAGGACATACCAGGGTAAGGCGTGTGAACTTTCTGATGAGGGAGTCCCTGAGAAGTTTCCAGCAGGCAAATTTCATGGTACAAAGGTATTTGGGGAAGACAGGCACCTTGGAATAAACATCAGGGCCCTCAGCACATTGCTAGTGTCTTGCCTGCAATGGGGAGAGTGACCAAGCCCTGAATGCCTGGCCCTCTACGCACCCTCCCTGTCCCCTGTGACTCCCTCGGGCATGGTTCTCCCCACCCTGGGCCATGGGTTATTTGGCTATGTACATGCCATGGGCCAGGCTGATTCTGGCCTAATCCCCACCAGCCCCAGGGAGATGTTTGCATGCTCAGGTATTTACAGCCAGAGCCTGTGGATTAAAGAAAGAATGGGAATTATTTTTCCAGTGGGGAGAAGGGCATACTTTCTCGAGGGCCGTCACAGAAGTGTAGTCAGGCAGCTCCCGCCCGGAAGCTGACTCTGGGCTAGAGGTGTCTTGGACAGCGGGGCTGTTACTCAAAAGATCCTGAATCACGTCCCCAGTGAAATGCCTGCCCATGGAAAGCCACCTCCTCTAGAGGGCAGGAGGATGATCTTTACAACTTGCTCAACCCTTTTTTATTGTTGAAGCGCCCCTCCCTCTCACCACCAGGGCCTCACCCCAGCCCTGCATGACATGAAAGCAGATTGCATAGCTCGCTTCTTGGTGGGGTGTGGGGGAATTAGATGTCTTAAAGGACGTGGCTGGGTGTGCCTAAACCAACCCCATTGCACACTTGGCTTCCATTCCATGCCAGACAGAGGCTTTTCTGTTGAGGGCATTGCCTGGAACAGGGAACCCTGAAGCCAGGATCTAGTGCTCATTCACGGCAGGGAAAGAGCCCCGAAGCCAACCAGGGAGCAGGCCTTTGCACAGTCAGCCACCATGAATTTTCCATCAGAGGAACAAAAGGGCAACTTGCCATACATAAATAATAGTCAAAAGATTAAGGGCAAAATAGCTGCCCAGAGAGCTTATAAATGAGCTTTCTCATTCAGGAGCCCTTTCCAAGTGGGTGACATTTTCCGGAGGTGAAATTCACTTCCTTTGAATTCTTGTGTAACCAAAGGCTGGGAGCAAGGTGTGAGGTAGGGATAAGGGGGCACACATTTCCTCCAGCACAGTCTGAGGCTTTCTCCTGGTAGCTGAACATGCAGCACCATTAGAGATTACCTTTTATGGTGATTCTTAATCTTCTGGGGAGGTTATGAATAACCTAAAGACATCCGTGGACCACAAGATTAGAAACGCTAATTTAAAAGGGTCAGGTATGCCAGAGGGTGAAGAAGAAAATACACAAGGGTTGGAAAAAATATTTGAGGATATAATGGAGGAAAATTTCCCAGGCCTTGCTAAAAATCTAGATATCCAGGTATAAGAAGCTCAAAGAATTCCTGGGAGATTCATTGCAAACAGGAAGACACCACATCACATAGTCATCAGACTGGCCAAAATAACCACAAAAGAGGCCCTCCTACAAGTTGTAAGGCGAAAGAAGCAGGTAACCTACAAAGGAGAACCCATCAGACTAACTGAGACCTTATAAGCCAAAAGAGACTGGGGCCCCATTCTTACTCTTCTCAAAGAGAATAATGCCCAGCCTAGAATCTTGTACCCTGCAAAACTAAGTTTCCTATACGAAGAAGAAATAAAGACCTTTTCAGCCAAGCAAAGATTGAGGGAATTCATCAAGACAAGACTGGCCCTCCAGGAAGTACTCAGAACAGTATTACATACAGATCGGCACAATAAACACCCAGCAATGTAAAATGATTCTAAAGCTAAAGGTTAAAGGCTAGATACCACAATGGCTCAAGAAAGAAAACAAAGCAACAAAGTTCAACTCAACAGGACGAAGAGAAATCTGCCCCATTTATCAATTCTTCCAATAAATGTGAATGGCTTGAACTGCCCACTAAAGAGACATAGGCTGGTAGAATGGATAAATATACACAAGCCAAGTATCTGCTGTCTTCAGGAAACACATCTAACCTACAAGGATGCCTTCAGACTCAAGGTAAAGGGATGGAAAACAATATTTCATGCAAATGGAAGCCAAAAGAAAGCTGGCCTAGCAGTTCTGGTTTCAGATAACTTAGTCTTTACACCAACAAAAGTAATGAAAGACAAAGATGGTCACTATATAATGGTGAAAGGTACAATGCAACAAGAAGACATAACAATTCTAAATATTTATGCACCTAACTCAGATGCACCCAGATTCATAAAGCAAATCCTGCTTGATCTAAACAAAATGATAAACAGCAACACTGTAATAGCCAGGGATTTTAACACCCCTCTGACAGAACAGGACAAATCCTCCAAACATAAAATAAAAAAAGACTTAAACAGAACTCTAGAACAAGTCAGCCTGACTGACATTTACAGAACATTCTGAACCCAAAAATCACTGAATATATATTTTTCTCATTAGCTCATGGGACATTCTCTAAGATAGACCATAT